GTCTAAACCGACTGGCGCATGCCAAGAGGCAACACTGTAAGAGTGTTTCTCATTTCCTGTTTTGCCCGTGATTCAAATCAACTTCACTCTGCCGCGACTGCTGTTCTTGATGAGCTCCACTGGCCCTCGATGTCAATGAGGAGATTTTAATAGACATCGCTGGCTTTCGCTGCTCGAGGTGACAAACTGTGTATGTGTCGGTTTGTTTATGCTTTCCTCTAACAAGCTGCCTTGCAGCACTGTGGAAAAAGACTGCTGCTTAAGTGTGAACAATTGATATTTCAGTTAACAGCATGCTGAATGAGGGAGGCAGCAGAGCTGCTGTAGTCTGATCCAGAGCCAGACATAGAGCGAGTGGCCCCTTAGAGCCTTTATTCAGCGGTTTATGTGCAGCTATAGCTTGTTTTTCAAAACCGCTGAATGTAAACATTTAGTCAGTGTGTGCCACATGTTCCTAATGTAATCTTCTTCTTTATCTTGACACAACAGCTGAACATTACAGTATGTCATCTCCACGAATACAAGCGGAAAAATTCAAAAGTATCGTTTCATTTTCTAACAATTATAATATAGAATATATAATAATTAATGAGCAGCTGAAGAGGCGTACCTAATCCGGTCGTTAAGTTTGACGTCACTAGCCATGTCTGGGCCTAAACTCCGCTGCAGGTCCATATATCAAACGATCACTATGGCATTACTGAGAGTTGAAAAACTGTCTAAAGTCTTTCATCTTTAATAAAATGATCAGCGTTCTGCTCTACCAGGTGTAACAATTGAGTTTAACATCCAGGCATCCATGAAAACGGAATTTATGACATTTAACGGAGTTAGAAGTTAGCAGGGAGTTAGCTCGCTAGCTTCTATCTAAATACAATATAGCATGTCCTGACTGCAGGGTTTTGGAAACAAATTAAAACGTACAGCTCTGCTATCACTTCCAACATAAATGAAGACAGAAAACTAAACAGCAGTGACGTTTGTAGGGTTACTGAAGTTTGGCTAGCTGGTATATAATGATGTGCTACGTGACCGCTAGCGACACGGCTATGTTAGCATAATATAAACAAGCTAACTTTTTTGCCACTCGATAAAAGTTAACGTGAGTGTTCTCGGTGGTCAGGAACAAATGTAATCGCATGGCAGGATGCTGTAAAAGGACCAAACTTCAGCCAGGAGAACAACTGAGGTAATCCATCCACAATACGAGGTTAGTCATTCATATACTGCTGCATGGGCTGGGCTGTAGTTACATCCTAAGGTTTTAAAAACTGAGCTTAAATAAATGATTAGCGGTAATAAAAGCCGAGGGAGGTCAACAGTGATCACTGACTGTTTTAGGAGCTTTTTAAGATTAAATAGAAGAAAATACAAAACATTAAACATGTTAACAACACAAAAGCCATATTAAACGCAGACTACTTTAGGCCCGGAAGTAGGATTCGTCACGTCATCACTTAATGACCGGATAATTTATCACCTGTTCTTCAAATGTTTGACTCAAGGAGAAGCAAGTTAGTGCTTATGTTGTTTTTTTGCTTGATAACAAAAGAATAAACGTGGACGAGAGCAGTGTTTAGGACAGAACACCAGTCAGTAGTTACAGGTTAAATTTAATTGGCTTTTTAAAAACAAAACTGTTAGCATGGACGTTAGCTGAGGCTACTCACTGAAAGCATGTTCACAGTCTGGATGGCCGTTGATACACTGCTTTCACATTTTACATTTCATTCTTTATTTGGCGTTACGTCTTCGCTCCTTGGTTGTTATGTCTTTAGCCGGATCTTTGTATCAGTGGCACAATACTAAAGCGGGTGAGTGTCAATAGCCTCTCAGCCTGCTCCAGCTCCAGCGACTGTTAGATATGGAGTCATGACTCGCTGTGTTCTGTGCTCCCCTGAGCTTTAGCCACTCTGATCTGATGAGCTGAAAACCAATAAAGAGCGAGCACGAAGCCGTCTGGCTTACTCGGTCTCCTCGACCTCCCGAACAAAGCAGCAAGAGGTCAGCGTTGCTTCATTTTTTTGATCATAGTCACTTTATTTCTGAATGTTTAGACTTTAGGTTAGAGGGAAAACACCAGTTTTATCTTTAATTATTATTACTGACCAGTTTGAAGTCATCTTAAATAAAACTACCCACATTTTCTCGCTCTTCTGCTCTTACAGTGATAAGACTGTGGGTTTTTTTCCACATTCGGAGAGCATTTGGCATTTGAGAAAGCACAGCTTTGTCTAAAGCTCTGCCTCAGTCTCTGATATGTGTCAGTTGGTTTGGGTAGAAACACACAGTTGGACCATGTATCACAGTTGGCAGTGAAGTTGTTATTCTTCACTAAAAATAAGCCCGCTGTCAATAAGTGTTGACTTGTCAGTGGCAGGTGTTGATTGGAGGGTTGCGTGTTTGCTCGCTTGGTGAAAGGTGTTCGCGTCCCTGAGGCGATGAAATTAATAAGCTGATAAATAAGCTCCGAATTTAATGAAGGTGCTTTTTATTTGAGGACGCTAATTATTTTTAAAGGCTTTTCTACAGATGTCGCAATGTTCAGTCGATCTAAAGACGATGGAAGTCGTTTCTTTGGATGATTTTTATGTAACTGTGTGGCAAAACCACCCTTTGCTTCGGTTATGCAGAAGCCAGATTACTGTGCACATGTTAACTTAGCCACATGTGGCTGATTGCGAGAATAGTGGGAGGAAAAGTGCGATAAAGTGCAGAAGAGCGCACTTAGAGTGTGAGCTACGGTGTGACAGTATTTTAAACTGAGAACAATGTAGGAAATACTTCCACTGTCAGTTCCTGCATTAGATCCAACAGCAGCTGTGTCGTTTCCATTTGCTTTCCTGTTCAGTCGTAGTCTTGTTTTCTTTTTTCGTGCCTTTGTTTCCACTGATAAATAACTTTCTTAGCTCTCAGAGTTTTCTAATCTCTGATCTCCCTTTCAGTGACTGAAGAATGCGTCTTTATTTCTATGATTTATCATCATCATTTTGCATGCATTACGAAAGCAAACCAAACGAGGAAAAACAGCAAAAGGCTTTCAGCTAATGGCCGTGCGTCTCAATTAGCTGAAATCCTTCATTAAACAGCCGAGCCTTGAGTGCCTTTTGTTCCCTTCGAGCAGAACCGTCACAAAGCGACATCACTTTTGATGGAAACGTTTTGGCTGTAGTTGTCAAAGTTGTTGTTGTTGTTGTGTTTTTTCTCCTCTTTTTCTTCTGATTCTTTTCTCTGCTCTCCAAACGCGGCGCCCTCCTCCACAGTGCCGGCTCCATCGTTGCCCTTTTAATGAGGTGATATCCAGACACACGGGAGCAGATGTTGCAAGGAAAACACACTGTGACGTGATTGTGATCGATGCGCGCCTCCCACCGCATCCACTGCATAATTCGGTGGATGGCATCAGGATAACAACCTGCATTATGTGGAGACAGCTGTCGCCACAGAGCCCGGGCAGCCACGGTATTGGCTCCCGCCTTATTTCAGGCAGAGGCGGGAAGCCAATTAGAGTGATTTACAGCTTGCTTGTGTCGTCAACACCTTGAAACTTGTGTTCCAGTCCAGACAAATAAAATGCTTGGCTACCTGGCAGCAGGTTTATTTATTGGCTAAATATAGTGTAATTTTGCTCCAAGCAGAAGCTAATGTGAACATATTCTTTAAGTGAAGCAAAGAGGGTCGAGTAAATAACATCAGCCTTCATTAAATTAAACTTACAGAACTTTAGATGCGTCCCTTTGTTTCTGATTGTTGCTTGTGCAGCTTTTCTGCAATAATCTATCATTATTATGCTTTTTTATAATATAAATATGCTAACTTCAAAGATGTAGGCAGCAGGTTTGAAGGTTTTGCAGTGATAAATCAGATACGCAGCGTTTGATGACACGGTGATGGGATGGGAAACATGTGAATTCACATGGCTGCCATGTAGAAAGGGAAGTGGCTGACTGTCAGTGTAATCCGAGCAAGCTTTGAAGAGTAAAATGATGACGGGCTACAGTTGAAATGTATGTGTGCTCTACACGCTGTGAGAGAAGGTTTTAGTCAGAATTACAGACGTTTGCAGGTGAATGTGGCGTAGCATCGAGCCCCGCGGGCTTTGCTGCTGCACCTGGAGCCAGAGCTGTTAGTTAGCAGGTGGGAACTGATAGACTGAACTTGCTTGTTATTCACACAATAGTGCTTATTAATGTTACAGCGCTCTTTTAATGATTCAGCAGTGAGGAACCATGAGAAACACGATTTCCCCCAAACTCAGGATGCTGTAAAAAGGAAAAAAAAAAGGGGGGGGGGGGGGCAATAAGAAATTACAAGAAAGCCTCTAAGAGAGTTCAGGCTGTGCTGAAGAATAAAGGTGGTCATAGCAAATATTGTCTTTCAAGCTGGTTAGACATGTACAAACTCTGTTTTTACCTCATATGCTGTGTTTACATTTAAATATATGAAGAAATCCAGGGCTGGCTCAAAACTTTCTCACAGTATTGTCTGTGAAGGTTCTCAGTCATCCAGGTCATCGTAGTCGAAGGAGCTTGTAAAGAAAAGCGTCTGGACTTCTTTAAGTTGCTTGAAGACGTTTCACTTCTCATCCGAGAAGCTTCTTCA